AGCACATGGAGGGCGCAATCCTAGGAGATTAGAGGAAGTTTTTTTTTGTCTCCCATTGACGAGCCTGGGTGGAATTCACCTCCATGTGGAGGGCCCATGTGCCACGAGAGTCCTCAAGATAGCTTTTAAGTAGTGCATAGGCCTAGCGCAAGCAATGGGCATGAGGGCAAATCTCTCCCTCCATGAATCCAGTGTGTGTGTGAGACAACAAAACATAATCTTGCCAGTGCACGTTGCTGGGAGCAAGGGTCAAGCGGGTGAACACCAGTTACCATCGACCAAGGCTCCTGCTTGCAAACTCCGAGAGCGCTTGGAGTCTTGAAAAACCAGAGGGGCAGGAGGGAATAGGACTTCACTTATTGGCACTGGTAGGATTGGTGCATCCTTTGCCCGCTGCCCTGGACATTGCTCAGGGGGAAAAGAAAACTCCCAGCGCAAAAGGATCAAAACCAAAACGGGATCGTTACACCAAGTTATATTGCTATACTTTGCTGAACATTTTCAGTTTTCCATCAGGAAACTTAAATGAACTATTTTGATTCAGGTTGAACCAGCCCACATCAGAGAATAGCAGTTTTTGAACTGACCCAAAATATTTGTTTCAAATCAGTTTAACAAAACATTAAGATGCATTTTTCCACAGTGGAAATTTATTTTTTATCGGAGTTGTAGTTTGGAACCTGATGCTCCGATTCCCTCCCATGGGCCAGGCTCCCTAGAGGACTATATCTCCCATAATGCAATGCAGATTTTGGCATATGTGGTGCATCATGGGAGTCACATGATTCTGGGTGCATTATGAGAGATGTAGTCTGGCCGGGGAGCCTGGCCTTAGGGGAAAATGGGGGCATTAGGCTCCCAAACAACATCTCCCATAAGGCAATGTGCCACTATGGGAAAATGCAATTTAATATTGAACAGACTTGAAGTGATGCATTTCAGATCCATTCAATAAACCACAATGAAACACGCTGACATTTCTAAATTGAAGTTTTTTTGGAATTTTTGTTCTGCAAACTTTTTTGAAAATTTCAACTTTTTGTCCCAGTTTGGGATGAAAACAAATGTCGCGATGTCGGCATTTCCAGGACAGAAATTATGAATTTTGCTCAGCTCTCCCTTCAAGCTTTCCATTGGAAGAATATAAGGCTTGTTGAAATTCACAGCAGTAAGAGGAGAAGGTGCTGTTACTGACGGGCAGATGTTTGCACAGTACAGGGTAGCAAGAGCAAAATCTCCCTTCCAAGGCAAGCCAGCGCTAAGAGAAAACAGCACCAGAAAACGCGATACAAACCTGACCTTCCTGCATCACTGGCCTGAAGCAAGGCACAGCTGTGAAGGGGCAGGGTGAGAAAGTGCCATTCAGACTACATCAGCCTGGCAGGTTCACCAGAGGGGAAGGATGGGGTTAAGGCACTGGATTGAGATTTAGCAGATTTGGATTCAATTCCTAGCTCAGCTGCTTGACCTTTGGTGAGTCACTGAATCTCTTTTGGGCCCCAGCTCCATGTCTGTAAAATGAGGATTGTTCTACTTCCTGCCTCCCACCATTTGTCTGTCTCCTTCATTTAGACCTTAAGCACGTCTGGGCAGAGATTGTCTGTTGCTGTATCTCTGCACGGCGCTTGGTGTGATGGGACCATGGTCTTGGCTGAATCCTCTAGGTGCCATCGTAACATGGGCTGGGATCTTCAGCACCTAGTTCCATTAGACCCCTTTGGAAATTCCAGCCACAATTAAGAATAGTCAATCTGACCCCCAGAGACGAACTCAAACCACCTCCGTTAATGGCTGGACAAAGCGCTGTCCTCAAGTCACACTGCTCCCCCACGTCCTCTGCAGACCGCAAAGCCAAGTATCTGTGTTAGTTCCGAGGCACCTCTGGGGAGGAGCTGGCCACCCTTGGGTGCTGTGGGATGCAAACGCCCGGCTGCAGCACGCCAAGATCTTGTTCCTGAAATTCACTCGACACCAGCGTGGGCACCGGGCAGCCCAGACCAGTGACTCGGGATGAACAGCAGGGGCCGGGACTAGGTGACCTCTCGAGGTCCCTTCCAGTCCTACGAGTCTATGATTCTTTTCAAAAATATGTCGGTGGCTGAAGACGCCACGGCCCATTTTCAGAGCAGCCCACTGAAAGCCCTTTGAAAATGGGCCTTCGATTCTTAGGTCATGTAGATGTTTTTGAACATTTTGCCCGAAATCTTATTATGAATGTCCCAGGACCCAGGCCGTGGAATACCAGGGATTCCTACATCTCACAAAGAAAGGAGGCCATCTTTCCTTCCACGTGGCCCTAAGGATGCTGTACAGTGGTCTTTCCAATGGGAGAAAAGCAGCTCATCTGTTTTGAAGGTGCATGTAGATACTGTAATCTCACAGGAGCGCATCTGCGTGGACGGATTTTAAGAAGTGAACGTAGATTCCTTGCAGTTGGAAGCCTTTATTCAGTGCTACCCCTGTGAAATCCAGGCCAGATGTCTGGGATTCGCTCCTCTGAAGAGCCTGTGGCTGTCTGCAAAGCAATGAAATGATGCTACAAGATCACTGGCCCAATCCAAAGTCAAAGCAAAGTTCCTAAAGATTCGAACATGGCCACTGGAGATTTGCGGCTCAGACAGGACAAGGTCAGATCGATGTTGCCCACAAATCATAGAATCATAGAATATCGGGGGTGGAAGGGACCTCAGGAAGTATCTAGTCCAACCCCCTGCTCAAAGCAGGCCCAATCCCCAACTAAATCATCCAGCTGGGCCTGGTGATTCTGTCCTGTGAACTGAACACAGGGCTTTTCACTGGTAGCAGGCAGAGGCAGCAGGGGTACATGACAACGTAGGCATTCATGTCATTGACTCAGGTTGTCTGGTGCCATTGACACCCCCCTTTTCTCGGACTCAACCCCGTGTAGCACTGCGGTAATTATTCCTGTTAATGCCACTATGCTTCCAGCATGCCCACCACATGTGACAGACGGTCACGTTGCTTAATCCATGATGGAAGGTGCTTGGATACTGCAATGACGACGCGGGAGGGGTAAGAACCTACATAGACTAGACTAGAACTGCAAAAAATCAAGATATTTACTCTTTAGCCAGCACTAGTGCTGCCTGTTTCAGCAAACCTCAGCAGGGAAGATCGTCTTTACCTGGGCTCGGTAACCGACCATGGGGTCTTTGGTTCACTTTGGGGTAGTCTCTAACCTAATTTTCTACAGTGAAAAAATCCAGCTGCTGGGGAGACCCAGCTCAGGGCAGAGGAGGACTCTGAGCTCTACTCTGGATGACCTTTTAAAGCAGTAACCCACAGTCGCTGGCGTATAAACTCGCCATGGTGCATATTTTTGGTTTTGCCTCTTCCTGAGCAGACGTGAGGCTGCAGGGAGTTGTGGTTCTCGGCTGTCATCTGGGGACAAAACAAAACTCCAAGTCCTTTCAGCTTTAGCGATTATCCAGGCCAATAACTGTGGTGAGGTGGTTGCTTTATATTCTGATGTTTGCTCTGAATGAAGTGTGGGGAACTCCTCCACAGATGCCCATAAACATGCCACCTGTCCCCACACATGCAGAGAAACACAACTTGCCCATGTACACCCACCCACCGAAATACTTTCCAGCTACACCCACCATAGATACACATCCTGGCTGCCCGTGCACACACAGACCCCCCCCATATACTCTAGTTCAATCACAAGTTGTTGGCGGAATCGCTGGGTGAAATCCTATGGCCACTCTTATGTAGATTAGACTAAATAGTCATAATGATCCCTTCTGGACTCAACAGCTGTGAATGAGATCTTCTGGGTACACACCCAGAGTACGCAAGGGGGATGCTAGCTGAGTAAGGTTCTACGCCACACGAATAAAGATAGCAGGATCTCGGTTAGAAACGCCGGTGCAAGTTTTGCAGAGTCAGACCTGAATAACATGCTTTCCTCACTTTGCGAGAAACTTAAAGAGGGACTTGGAACATTACACACATGTTTTATCACCTGCTGAAGGGAAAAGAACATTAGCATTACTAGCCAGAGGCTTCTTCAGAACAGCCATTGGAGACTCAAGAGATGTCCATCAAGACAGGGGGTCAGAACTTTCCAAATTTTGATGGAACTTTGATAGAAAATAAAATAAGATACATTTTTCACAAGTTTTTTGGGGGGAGGGGGGGAACGGAAGGGAGGATGAAAATTCATCTCATTTCTTGACCAGCTGTAGTGCAGATCAGAGGATTTTGAAATTTAAAGTTTCAATGAAAATTTTTCATTAGAAAAACAGAGATGAATTTTTCACAAAACTTGTTACGAACAATGTTTCTGTTACTCAACCAACTCTCTTCACCTGTTTAGAAAGCAGGAGCCTGCAGGGAATCCTGGCATCTGAGCTTCTGGTCTAGGCTAAGAAGCACGTGCAGTGAATTACTACAGAAAGCATATGTGGCAAAGCCTCAAAGGATATGTGCTCAAGAAAAATCTATGTCTGTCTTGGAGTTCACCTGCACCCCATTGCTCTGCATCCTGGTGGGATTCCCTTTCTGTTAATCTAACCAGCAGATCTCCAGTTTGTCATGTAGGGGTGACAGTAGCTAAGGCCGGGCCCTGTTAGGAAAAAATAGCTGCAGGCAATGCAGTGACAGTGGGGAGAATCATTGACATCAGTTTGGCTTTACAGTCGGTTTGATCTAAAGGTCAGTTTTACCACACATTGCAGAAAGGATGTCAGAGGGTTCCCATTAAATGAGGCCTGGCCCTGCCTCTTCCCTGAGCGTGAGAAGACTCCAAGTAGGCGAAAGGTGAAACAAAGTCGTTTTGTCATCATCCTTGTGGTTTCGTTGCTTGCAGTTTCTCATTATACTAGACACAACCTAATGTTAATTATTAAAAACACAGCCTGGCAACACGAGATTTAGCATTCCTAGAGTTTCAGGCCAGAATGGACGTTAGATCAACTAGTCTGACCTCCTTTAAATCCCACCCAGATAGCCCTGTACTGACTAATTAGTGACTAATTAGATCGAAGCATTTCAGCCGTCCAAAGACAGCACTGTGGTGTGCCAGAGGCAGAGAACAGGAGGGACTGAGGTACCACCAACGCCCGAGGCCCCTGCACTGGCAGGGAATTCATTAGGTGAGACATGCCCAGATAATCCAAGCAGGCGACCCAGGCCCCACGCTGCAGAGGAAGGTGAAAAACCCAACATCCCTGCCGAGCTGACCTGGGGGAAGATTCCTCCCCAACCCCAACGCTGCAGATCAGTAAGACCCTGAACATGTGAGCAAGACCCACCAGCCTGGAACAGAAAGGGGATTCTCTGTACCGCCTCAGAGCACAGGTCCTCACCCCGTCCTGTGTCCTGTCTTCAGCTGGGGATGAGGGAGCCTAGGGCAGTGGTCCCCAACCTTTTCAATGTGGCGGGCGCCTGACGACTAGCTGCCGAAGAGCGCGGCCACCGGACAAGCAGCTGCCGAAATGCCGCCGAGAAGCGGCAACGCGAAGGAGTGTCGCCGCCGAAATGCTGCTGAGAAGCAGCGGCATTTCGGCGGTGATGGTTCTTGACGTTGCCGCTTCTTGGCGGCATTTAGGCGGAGGGGTGCTCCCTTGTCAGTAGGCGGGCACAAATAGATGCCCCGGCAGGCGCCATGGTGCCCACGGGCACTGCGTTGGGGAGCACTGGCCTAGGGAAATGGTGCTACAGGGAATAGTGACGTCGGCTCCAAGCTAATAACAGTATGATGTGAAAAGGGACCCTGGGCTGCTGGAGGCTCTACATTTGGATGAAACACAAAAGCAAGGTCCTGTGCACTTGTTTGTTGACGAGCTGAGGCTCTCTGTGCTGGTTGCTGTGACAACCAGCTACTACTGCTATTTGGCAGGGTTACTCCTTTGGCGTGCGTGGTAGAGGGATGTGCTTGGGTGCGGAAGGACCCAGGGTCAAACGCGGCTGATGGATGGAGGATCCGGCACTAGCCGTAGGGTTGTGACTCAAGTTTAGGTGATTGCATTCTGCTGAAATTAAATCCCTCCTGCTGTTTCAGCTGGATACAATATTCTTTTCTCCATCCTGTCCAAAAACTGTTGGGTAGCGTTGCTTTGGCTGTGACGTGGTTGCCTTCAGTGGAGGGTGAAGTGACTCCTGACCACTTACACACACGTTTATCGGTACTGCCAGGGGTAGTCCAACTGGGTGATGGGATTAATGCCGGTGGGGAAGTTGAGTATGTGTAGAAGTGTTTGCAAGATCAAAGCCATAGCTTGTAAAGACCTTCCGGACGAAAGGAATGATACAAACGTCAGATGTTACTCATTATTCAGTAGAATTGGAAGATCCTGAAAGGATCACGGCAGTCATTACAATCCATTATTTCCTGCAGAGGGGGTGCAACTTCAAAGGCCATCTTTGCAAATGCAGTAAGGACCCACAGAGCCAAAAAGTGAGGAAGCTGGGCTTTGGGGGGGAAAATTCTGGTGGATAAGGAGCAATTTGGGAAGAGTTTAGAAAACAGTAATTTGGGGATGAGCGTGTGATTAGGCCGTTAGCCAATGGCTCCCTGCTGATGAGGCAGAAAAGAGACATTTCCATTAAAACTCTGGTTTGTTTTTTTATTTTTTAGCTGGAAAGAAAATTCTGGAACCATCTGGGTTTGACAATGAACGTCAGCTTTATCTGCAGGAGGGAGGCTGGTCTTGCGGTCAATGCGCTAGAATTCCGGGAGTTTGAGCTCAACTCCTGGCTCTGCACGAAGTCACAGTGTGATTTTGGGTGAGTCCCATGACTTCTCTGGGCTTCAGTTCCCCGTTCGTGAAATGGAGATAACGACACTTCCTTTGCCTCTCTTGCCTATTTAGATGGCAAGCACTTTGGGGCAAGGACTGTCCCTTGCTATGTGTATGTACAGCGCCTGGCACAACGGTAGGCACTACTGGCATATTAATAATGTCTAAGGTCTATTTCTTGGTGGTATGGTTGGACAGGTAAATCCACCTGCCACCCCCACTAGGTTGCCCTGTGGTGGGCAGGAGTTGGCATAGATTGTACTTCGCTCAAACCCCAGTGTCTGGATTTAATCATCCCAATCTATGCATTCGTCAGGCTCCTGCATGTCTCTCTCGTATTGGTGGGCTACCTGCTTCCTCCTGGCTTAAGAAACGTTTCTTCTCCTGTGACTATAACCACCAAGGTTACAGAGGAACACAGGTGGCTAAAAATAGCATTGTGCTTCCAGAAACCCTGCCCTGATTATCGGCATCATGAGCAGAATCTCCCGAGTACCGGCACTGCTGCCTGCCTTCACTCTTCGATCTAGGCTTCATTAAACCTCGGGAAGAGGTCCGAGGCCTGAGAGACAATCTGATACCCTGGCTCCGTGGCTGTCCCCTCTGCTTCCCCAGCCGTTCCCTTTGTTTCCATAGTAATTCCTCCAAATCCAAGTCACGTGACCTTCTCGGCTTCTTTTGTTGATTTCTTCTTTTCCTATTGTCATTTGTCTGTCCATTAATCCAACCACCATCTGTCCCTGGCAAACAAGAGGCGAGCCCAGGCCCCTGCCAGCATGGAGCCTGAACACTGGCCAGCCTCAAAAGTATTTCTCACTGTTTGCTCTTTACATCTGGACAACAGCTGAAATAGTGCTGTGGGGGCGGAGGGCGGCGGGGAGAGACAGAGCGAGGCCATTGCTTGGCTCTATGAAAGGAGCTCGGATTTGGCCACTTGATCCTTCCCTAGGTTGGGGCGCAAAGAGCGAGTGTGGATAGGCCTTTGCATCTATTGGACCCTGAGCCGGGAACAGGTGTGTTTGTGTGTGTGTGTGTGGGTGGGGGGATGGGGGGCTATTGAAAGTGCCCAAGGGGTTGGATGGCGCAGGACTCGGGTGACAGAAGGTGCCTCTCAAGCAATAGTTTGCAGAGGAGGAAGCCAGGGAAGGAGCAATGCCCCCATCTGAAGTGCACAGGCCCTTCCAGCATCTGCCCTTGTCCATGTGGGAAAGCAGGGAGGGCATTCAGCTCACTTGGCCCCAGACAACAAAAGGAGATGGAGCACCACCCACCTGAATGCTCATCCTCCAGCAATGCCTTGCAGATCTCAGAGCATCTAGCTACTTTTGCCCTGCTCGGCTGGCAAATCCAGGTGCTCCACTGGGGAGCAACCTGATACATTTGCCTAGGATCTGTCTGTACCACACTGGGGGTGTGTGTGTGTGTGACTGCAGCACTTGTGGACACACCCAAGATAACTTTAATCTGTCTACCGATAGCAGCGAAGCTGCAGCAGGATGGACGTCAGTGCAGGCTAGCCTTGCAAGGAATCACCCAGGGTCCCAAGCAGGCTCGTGAAGCCCATGCTGCCATGACTTCACTGTGATCACAGCCAGCTAGATTAAAGCTGGCTCGGGCACATCGTGCCGCCATACATCTCAACTGCAGCGCTCCCTAGCAGCGCTCTCCGATGGAAACCAGCAAATGAAGCACTCCTGGATTAGGAAGCTGTGCTCGCTAGTGGTTAGAGCAGAGGACTCTGAGTTCGGACTCAGGTTTATTCCCAGCTCTTTATAGCAGCCAGGACTCCTGGGTTCTTTCTCCAGCTCTGTCACTGCCCTACAGTGTGATGTTGGCTGAGTTGTCTCAACTCTTCCATTTGTTAAACGGAGGATAATGCCAGGATCACCCCCCACACCCGAGAGGTGGTTGGGGGGCTTCATTAATGTTTGTAAAGCATGTTGAGAACCGGTCCTCAGTGGGCTGGTATGAGTGGGGCTGTTTGAAAAGTAGGAATTCTTTTTTCTGCAAAAAAAACCCCAACAACAAATAGTTTTGTTCAAAATTTTCCCAAAAATTTTGAGGGGGGGGGAAAGAGTGAGGAAAAACCCAGCCTCCCACGTTTGTTCCTAGCCTGGGCCATGGAGCATGGGAATGCTGTGCAGTACCAGTGCATCTGGTCCTGTTGCAGGGCCAGCTCCAGGCACCAGCTTAACAAGCAGGTGCTTGGGGCGGCCAAGGGAGAGGGGCGGCACGTGCAGCAATTCGGGGGCGGCAGGTCCCTCACTCCCTCTGGGAGCGAAGGACCTGCCGCTGAACTGCCGCCGCCGATCGCGGCTTTTTTTTTTCCCCCAATTGTCGCCGCTGATCACGATTGCGGCTTTTTTTTTTTTGCTTGGGGCAGCAGAAATGCTGGAGCCGGCCCTGTCCTGGTGTCCCCCTCTGTGAACAGTCCAAAGAGAATACGGGTTTGTTACAGCCCCAGGCAAGGCGAGGTGCTCTGGTCACTGGAGCCACCTGGAATGTTCCACGGCTCAGAAGCAGGGAGTGCTCCTGTCTCTCCCCCATTTCATTCGCGAGGAGCGGAGCAGGAAAAAGCCCTGTACAGAGCATGCGGAGAGGCCAGTGCTACATGCGGAGGCCTGTGTTTGTCACTAGCAGCCTGGCTTGAGCCCTTGGTCCCCTTTTAAACATACCCCCTCCTCCCGTCCCACTCCCCAGGCTACATCCCCTTGCAAATAGCAGCGTTCTCAGTGCAAACAGTGCAGGGCAGCGCCCTCGGTCACAGTTAAGGACAGGGAGGCGAGCGTGCTGCATGCTGTCACTGACCCGCTGTTGCAGCAGAACCCCAGCCTGGGAGTGCTCCCCCATGGCCTCTGTGTTGCTGGGTTTGGCAAGAGCTTCCTGCCTGCTTACAAAAAACAAACCAGCTCTTCCTAGTTATTTAATGGCTCCAATGTGCTTGCCACGGTCCGGCGCTTAGACAGAACAGGCAGCGGGACGGCGCGGGGCTGTCAGGAGCTTTAACTTTGCGTCAGGATGAATCTCGGTCTCGGCACTGGGAACATGCTGTACCGTTTAGCACACAAGCTGGCAGCCTGGGCTTGCACAGTAACTTAGGCTGAGCGCTGTCCTGAGGGCAGAGAAACCACATGGGGAGGAGCAGCACATTGCACAGAGGTTGCACGTACACCCCTCGCAGCAGTCCCTGGGAAGTAGTCAGTGGGGCGTGGACATCCAGGACGGGGGCTCAAGGGGACTAAGGGATGTGGGCAGGGCTGCTAACTCCCACGATTTTGTTATGAGTCTCAGATTTTCTTAAAGCCCCAGCTCCTGGAGTCAGATGATTATGGGAGAATCTCAGCTTCCATTTTTTCTATACAAGTCCGTTTCTAGCTCTTTTGGTTGCAGAGAAAAGCTTGGGGATGCGACCCTGAAAGGCTCAGCACCCAGAAGGCCTATAAACAACTCCCAAACGTCTTATTTTACATCTCTTGATTTTAAAATCCATCTCTTGGGGGCCTGACTCGATCTTTGAATGTGGCGGGTGATAGTTCTGTGAACGTGAGATGCCACGTTTGGCTTTAAAAGTGTCAGTATGGTACAGTGGCTGAGAGCCAGGAACTGCTGAGCATCAAGGCTGGGTTTTCAAACGGGCCCACGTGACAAAGAACATGAGTCCCAGGGACTTTCCTGGGGCCTTGTGTGACCCAGTCATGTAAGGTATGTCTACATAGCAGACATACATTGTCTACATTGCAGCTGACCCGTGGTTGGCCTGGGTCAGCTGACTCAGGGTCATGGGGCTCGAGCTGCCGGGCTCTAGACGTTCGGGCTTAGGCTGGGGAATGGGCTCTGAGGCCCTGCAAGGGAGCAGGGTCCCACAGCTCGGGCTGCAGCCCAAGCCCTTGTGTCTCCACTGCAGTTTTATTGTCCCACAGCCCGAGCCCCTGGCACCTGAGTCAGCTGACCCGGCCCACCTGGCTGTGTCGCAGGTCTTTTATCACAGTGGAGACATAGATTTAGGGGCGTCTGAAAATCCCAAGCTAAGCTCTCAGCTCTGGCACTGACTCACTGAGTGACCTTGGCAAGCAACATGACTCTGATATAGATCTATCTACTGTGACAGACCCAGACCAGTGGGGTACAGGAGTCTGGTAGAGGCAAATATACTGGTCACTGGATGAGTAGTTTTCTGTTCCCTGAGTGACCAGAGCAGGGGCTGCACTAGAGTAATCAGGAACCTGCCAGAACCAGTTAAGGCAGGCAGGCTAATTAGGTCACCTGGAGCCAATTAAGAAGAAGCCACTAGAATCAATTAAGGCAGGCTAATCAGGGCACCTGAGTTTTAAAAGGAGCTCACTTCAGTTTGTGGTGTGAGGAGCTGGGAGGGTATGCTGCTGGAGGATTGAGGAGACACCAGGAGGAAGGTCCTGTGTTGAGAATTAGGAAGGTCTTTGAAGAAGGCCATGGGGAAGTAGCCCAGGGAGTTGTAGCTGTCATGCAGCAGTTACAGGAGGCACTATAGACAGCTGCAATCCACAGGGCCCTGGGCTGGAACCTGGAGTAGAGGGCGGCCCTGGGTTCCCCCCAAACCTCCCAATTGACCTGGACAGTGGGTTTTCCCAGAGGGGAAGGTCTCTGGGCTGTTCCCCAACCCACATGGTGAATCTCTGAGGCAAGAAAATCCGCCAATAAGCGCAGGACCGACCAAGATAGAGGAGGAACTTTGTCACACTACCTACCTACCTATCCATCCACATAGTATTTAACAACCAAATTATGAGTCACATGACATTTGCCTGTAAAGGATGCTATTTTACATTGTGCCTTTCATTCAGGTAATTCTCTCTCTCTGCTTTCTCTCTCCCCATCTTTTCATTCTTCTCTCCTTCACTGCCTTTCCACAAAAGACCATTAGAGCATCTACCTACCCCCCAGGGAGTAGAACTCTGCAAATACTACTAACGTTTTCCCCTGGATGAGGACTCAGTGGGAAGTGGTGTATATAGTGTGAATAAACTTTTTACACTAAGAAAATACCCACAGATTTCTCTTCTGGGGAGGAGCTGACCTGCAGGGTTCCAACAGCCTCTACCACTCCACACAGGGACAATGTTATCATTAAATGAAAATCCCTGAACACACAGGTACCAATTAAGGCATTGCACGCAATAGGCTCCAGGAGTTACATGATCACCTCTGAATCTTTGCTCTCGTTGGGGGAAAAAAAATGTTTTGAGCCCTCAGGGATGCAAAGAAAAGTTTGAAAACACAACCCAAGCTCTGCCTGAATCTGCAGAGAGCCTGAAACAATAGTTCTGAAAGGTGTGAACCACCCTGTTCATCTTAATGCTGAAATGTGCTGCCACCCCAAAGAGAAGTAGGGCTATGGGGTGGTGGTGGGACTGCAGCGTGCATCATTGGTCCATGTGAGAGTGTGTGTGTGTGCGCTAGTCAGACACTCATGCCTTGATTTCCAGTGACTGTTGGCAAGTAGATATGTTTCATGCCCCCAGCACCAGCATCGCAGTCTCGGTGAGAACCAAGGAGCTATTTTACAAGTGACTATTGCAGAAACCACTTTCTCAGGGCCGTGATTAGGGATATATGTTCTGTAATTTACTTTCTGTCCGGGTTTGATACGAGGATGGGTCCCACCGGTACTACTAAAGCCTTTTAAAGTAATAAGAGCATGCATGTGGAGAGCTTCGCTGAAGAAAGGTGTCAACTTGTTTGCTTGCAGGGACACCTGGCTTCTACATGTTAGTGGCTGTCACTTCTGAAGCAATCGCCCCGTCGTGCGATGAGAAGAGGGATTCCAAACTCCAGAGGTTAGATATGATGGGCAAGAGCCTCAGCTGGTATAAATGAGCCTAACTCCCTTGACTTCAGTGGCCCTCCATTCATATTCACTAGCCCTACATCTAGCCTGCTGCAGTGGGAGTCCGAGGGCCAGGCCAAGGAGTCAGAAATGGTTTGAGTGTGCATTGGATATTGGGAAGGACATTAAAGGGCTGGGCTTGGCGTCCCCTCCCTACCATCTGCTGGGACTGAACTTACTCCCAACGGCCGCAGGGCTGTCATGCAAGTGCAGCTCCTCAGAGTGGATGCAGGGGAAAAACGAAGGCAGAGAAAACAAAAGAGGTAGGAAGTAGAAAGGGGCAGGGAAACATGAGAGAGAGGCACAAGAAAGATGAGCAGGAAGGGATGGATGCCTGTCTTGTGTGCGGGAGAGGGGACAATTTATGGAGTTTTTCAAGCTTTGTCCTTTTATTATTATTATTTTATGATTATTTTGAATACAAATGTCACCACCCCAGCACTCACTGGCAGCTCTACAATAACCATCTAGTCTGGACCACCTAGGGTCAGGGAGCGACCCCGCAAAACTCAATGCTCCAGAGCCCCCGGCAATAACAAACTGATGCTCACAGCTCAGTGCTTCACAGCAACCTGACTCTAACCAGCCAAGCCGCACACCACCATCCACCCCACAGAAACACCCCCCGGTGCACAACTCAGCGCCAGTTAGCACCCCGCCAATAATAAACCGGCGCGTACAGCTCAGTGTGCATCAGCAACAGGGGGTGCACATGTGAAAGCTAAGAAGGAAAATTAATCTCTGTAAGGATCCCGGCTTATGTTTCCAAGTGGTTACATTTCTAGTATTGGAGAGAGGAAAATGATTATTTAAAAAAGACCTTTTATCTACAATCTGCCTCCCCACCACAGCTTTCGTGTGCGGGGGGTGCGTCAAGGTGGGAACATTTACATTTTTAGGGAAACTGTTCACAAAAAAGTCTTTCTAATGGCAAATGTTGAAATTTGAAAACTTGTTGACTAGCTGTAGTGTTGAGTTCTGCCTCAGGTCCTGATACAGGAAGACATCTCTGTCCAGCGGAGCACAGGTGAGTCCCACTGTAATCAATGCCACTTAAGCACATGGATAAAGTTTGGCATGTGTTTAAGTGCTGCCCTGAATTGGGGCCCAAGATAGCAGACTGGGCTGTTCTCATTTGGTAATGAATGGTTAGAGCTGGTTTGAGTTACGGGTCCCCTGAGCCCCTATATTTTTAATGTCAGCTTAATATTTTAAGCATCTTCTCACTCAGGCTTTGGATTTTAAGCTGAGGTTGTGCCTTTATTAGTCGTGCAGCAGCAGGAGCTGCAGCAGGCGGGCCTGGTTGGGGCCTGCTGTGGTTTCCAAGGCCCCCCACAACCCACCCTCACCCCTGTAACTGAATAACTGATTTCAAGCCGGTGACTAAGCAGGGACTGACGTGGGGCCTAGGCCTTGTAGGTGTGAAGTGGTTCTCGAGGGGCCACTGCAAGGATCCTCTGCACCCTGAGAGAGCAAATCATTCCTCACCCCCCCATCCCCTTTCTGCCCCCCTCATTTCACATTAAGGGCCATCGTCCCCCTGAGCTGCAGGAATGAGGGACCGGAATGGGGGAGAACTAAGAGGCCTCCCCAGTGCCGAGGAAACCAGGCAGCGCAGAGTTAAGTCAGGAAGCTAGAAATAATAATCATCATCATAATCATCGGAGCCTATGGAATGAGGAAGTTAAGGGCTGGGTACCTCGTCGTTTGTGAAGCTCTTGGCAAGCGCTATGGAAAACGGAGGCCTAGAGAAATGTCACAGCAGGCTAAGCTTGTTCGGAGAACCACACACGTGTATTTAAGCCATCAAGCCCGCCATTGTTCTCCCCTAATTATTCCCACTCCCTGAGTCTTACACCCCATAATTCAGGGAAGCTGAGTAATGGAAGAAACAACAACAGTTTTAATCTCTCAGTACCGGTGGTCTCCACCAACAAAAATACTTTCAAGAGCTCTGCGGTTGCAGCTTCCTCAATTTGGTGGGCAGTAAAAGGAGGGGAAGAAAAAAAGCCATTCACCTATTTGGGAAGTTTTTTTTTTTTAAAGGGGAGAGGAGGAATCTTCTTTCAGATGGAAGGAAAGAAGAATTAGGAAGAAGATGTGTTTGAAAGCCGGTCCAGGAGCCGCTGGATCCATTCTGAATGTGGTAACGAGATGTTATATCACAGACTTGGTTAGGCCATCGATGGGTGATTCGTGTTGTACCAGAAGCCATGATGCCTAGTGGTGATAGAAGAGGCCTGAGACTTCTGGGTTCTGTTTGCCAACTCGCTGGGTGATGTCTGCAAGCTGCTGAGCATCTCCGTGTCTCAGCTCATCCATGTGCAAAGCAGAGCTAATAATCCCTGTCTCACAGGCCTGCTGCCAGGATTAACTGGTGCTTGCGAAGCGCTCAGCGAGCTACTAGCGCCCAGCTACGTGCAAAGCGTGGTGATTGTCAGGCAGCCCACTGTCCAGGAGAGCATGCCACTGGAGAGACGTTCGCAAGAGCAAAGAATACATCACCCGCGCGACCACCAGTGGCACGTTGTCTCCCTCTAATGGCTCCCTCTGACAGACAGAGAACAGAGCTGGATAGAACTTCTTGGTCGAAACGTTTTTTGGGCTTTTCAACCGAAATGAAAATGTCCATTTCTGTAGAAATAAAACAAAACAATATGATTTTTTTTTAGCCAAAAATTTCAGTTTTTCATCTTCCCACCCCCCTCCCAAGTGGACATTTTTCAATATAGAGGTTTTGGAGTCCACTGCTGCATTTGCCCTAATAAACCCAGTCCTTTTGGCTCAAGAAGCAGATGCTTGTGCTTTTAGATCCCCAGGTTCACTCCCCGCTGGCGACCCAAGGACACTGTTACAGACATCACTTTGGGTATGTCTCCACTGCAATAAAACACCCATGAGTGGCCCAGGTCAGCTGATTCAGGCTCACGGGGGTCAGGATGCAGCGCTATAAAATTGCAGTGTAGATGTTTGGGCTCAGACTGGACCCCGGGCTCTGGGACCCTCCCATCTCATGGGGTCTCAGAGCTCAGACTCCAGCCTGAGCCCAAATGTCTCCACTTGGAGCTTAAATAAAAGCAGAATCTCCTCCCTCCCCTCTGGCTTTTGGAATCTAAGTCCGACTGCAGCCCCCACCGTTTTCTGCAGCAACTTTGTGAAGGCACCTTAAATCCTTCGGGTTTGGTTCAGCTAGTAAGCCCCACGTTCCCTAATGGGAGAGCACTGCGCAGTTCTGGTGATGGCTCCACGGGTCGTTTGTTTCTGGAGCCCTGGGCTGCCGGCTGGCGCAGAGCACAAGTACAATGAGTCGGTGGTTTCAAACGAGGCTCTAGTCTAATTTAGCAACGTTTGCTGTCTGTGGCAAGGAGAGGCCCAGGAGTGGACTAGCAGGGGGCAGGATTGAGGTGCATTGGCAGTGTGTGTTTGGGGCCCAAGGATTGGAATAGCAGCGGGGGCTGCAGGGCAGGAGTGAGGGGTGTTTGCAGAGCTGTGTATTTGGAATCCAGGGCCGGAGTAGCAGGGACTGCAGGCTGGCATGGAGGGCACTGGCAGTGCCGGGTGTCTGAGCACGGACAGTATGTGCCCACCTGAGGTCTGACACTATCTGCTGATGTCAGTCCCAGACTCTCTCATGCATTAAAAATTCACCCCCCAAAAGGAGAAAATTAAAGGAAACTATTTAACCCCCCGACCCCACTAACCTCTTTCAAACTCCTCTTCCTCTGGGCATAAAACCCAGGCCTGCCGCATTCATGCCTCCGCTCTCTCCCCCACACAATGGCCCAAACTTCAGCTGTGCAGCTCAGGGCCTTGCCAGCCAGCCAGGAAATGGCACGAACAAGAAGAGGGATGGTTGTAGCGTGGCGCTGCCTCCTGGGGCTGCCGAGCTGCCCCGAGAAGCTGCTGTGGCCACTGGAGTATCCTGGAGCTGCCCTCCTGGGATGTGACTGATGCAGAGAACCTGTGTATCCAAGGCAGGGTGCAGATTGGAAGGGGGTACGAAGGGCAGGCAGCATGGTCTAGGGTTAACACGGGATTGAGAGCCAGGCCTTTCTGTGCTGCAGTTTCCCTTCTGCGACGTGGGGGCCCATAACGCTGACGTGTCCCACGTGGGCACCATGAGACCGGCTGACTAATGTGTGTGATGTGCTTGGAGAACCACAGGTGATGCTGCAAGTGGGAGCGATTATTATTGCTGTCACCCTTGTGTTGACTTGGCTGGAATCTGGGCAGGGGAAGAGGAACTCTGGGGCCAAATCCATGCCAAAACATCCCCCCGTTGCTAACGCTGGCTCAGCTCCCCTGGTGTTAGCAATGCTGGAGCCCTGGTGCGGATGGGGCAACTGGCTGCCACTGCCAGTTAGAGCTGGCCTGACCCAGGCCAGGTGAGGGGGTGAAAATGCCAGAGCTCTGTCCCCACTAGAGCTGTGCTGGGGGAAAATTACCCTAAATGGGCCCAATTCACCCCGGAGCGCCTAGGCCCCATGCTGGCCTGCTGCACATTGGTGAATGCCACGTTCTGTCCTTCGCCATGTCCTATCCTTCATCTCTGCCTCCTCCAACCTTTCCTCCCCATTCCCTCTAAGCTCCTTCCTCTCCTGCCTTGGCCCCTCCCTGCTTTGTGCCGCTAACTGTTTTGCCTGATCTGCCTTCGCTTGTTTTATTTATTCACTCCTGTCCCCTTGTAACTCCTTGCAGATTCCTTTGTTTGGCTGTGCTGCAGAGCGTCCCAGCCATATTTATCTGCACAGACCCAGCCTGGGAAGGCAGTCTAGTTCTTTATTTATGTCCTTTCCCATTTTTCCCCATTTGATACATGTAGCCCTTCCTTCAGCTAGGTTCCCTCACCCTGCAGCTCTGGAAAGTCACTTTTTGCCACTAGACTATTAAGATGTTATTGACAAGTCTCACCGCCTCTTTCTTTCTCTCTCGCTCTTTTCTTCCTTGGCTCTGCCTTTGCAACACATAAAACAAAATTAGTCCCACCGTATTCCTACTTGGCTTTCTGCGGATGCGGCCACTAACCTATAATAAATTTAAAATGACTGTTTTCCCTCCTGTTTGATGTTGCTGCTTTCCCAAACCCCTTGTAAAAAAAGTGTGTGTGTGTATAAAATGCAACAACTTGTCATACACAAAACCACACCAGAAAAGGCGGCAGGATTCTAGTCTGACACAGTCACACCTGAGGGAAGGAGCCAGACGAGAAGAGAGTCATTTTAGGATGCAGTATTTAGCGTCAGTTTTGAGCAGCTGATTTATAGTTTATTATAGAAGACTCACTGAGGTTTCCTAGTGGCTGGTAAAGCCTCTAGCAGGCTCCTTGTTCCAGTGGGATCTCTTTACCTGAACGCAGATGTAGTCATGTGAAGAAGGGGAGTGATCGTGCTGGCTAACACTGGGGTTTCTATCCACCAGCCAGAGAGAGCAGCGCAGACTCCTTCTGCCCTGCCAACATCCTTCTGGAATGACCACCTCTACGGCGAGAGCCACCTCCGCCTTTCAGCATTTGGCTGTTCTGCCAAGTCTGACGGCCTGGCTCTCCGATCCCTCTAGCTCGCTGTGCAAAGGCTGACTGATCCCTAGAGCGTCAGGTCAGAAGCCAACCATGAAGCAGTGGGGGTTCGGAAGGAACTTACCCAGTGGGAAGGTTATTTAAAACTGCTCGGGAGGGTTAACGCTCCCACTCCTATGATAAGTTCCAAGCGATTAGCACCTGACCCCTGGGACGCTTGCAGCAGTAGGGCGCCTAACATCAGTCCAGGGTGATGGTTCAGACCTGCCTCAGAGGGGCGAGCACCCCTTCCTGAATCAACAATGCTTCTCCCTGCACCAGTGTGTTCCTCAAAGGGCCCCTCCCCGCCCTGAAGGCCCTTTCAGCCCTGCCTACCTTGGAGCTGGCACGATTTAATGGGATCACCGCAAATGCTGGCACGGCTGCCGGCAGAGCATCAACCCATGTGTGCGTGACTGTCTCTGGGTGGTCTGCAGACATATGGCCGTGTTTAGAGCCCGGTTACAGCAATTGTTAAAAGATCAAAAATATTTAGGGCGACCTGGATTCTTCTTGCCTTTTTTGCATTTTTGAGGACTTCAGTCTGCAGTCTGACAATGAGGGAGGGTTTGGCACGGCCTTGCGGAAGCTCTGAGGGCCTTTGGCAAACTAGGGAAGGGGAGCGAAAGCCCTTAGAGAGTTAGCTCTGCAAGGACTATTCTGCCATTGGTACACTGGCAGCATTGCAAAACCGCAGTGAGCCACCTGGAGAACAGCTCGAGGAAACGTTCTGCTGTATCGTTTGTGCGCAATCACCAGACTTGCGCCAGGCTCCTGGCCCAGAGATTTTCATCGCGATGGGCACAAAGCTGCAAGAACTGCAGCTAGCAGGAAAATGCTGCAGCCACCTTCAGTCTCTACTTGACACCCTCAGGGAAATAGACATGAGGTGAGACGTTCCGCCAGTGGGCGAGGAGGCGGGAGAGCTGGGGGTCTCTGAAGGGGAGCTGAGGCGCTGACTCATGGTGTGACTTCTGGCACGCCACCCACTCTCTGCTCCTCCGTCAATCCAGCTGTAAATTTGGGCAAAATGCAGAAACTTCGTGTTGAAAATCTTCCTGGGGTAAGCATGTCGCAAGAAAACAAAGAAACCAATGAAATCCCTTTCTGCCTGAAATGGCAGCCTAGTGCGATCTTTTGGAACCCAGAGAGGAAATCTGCATCACTCCCAAACCAAAATAAAAACACTCCAAAGGGATATGTGTGTAAATGCAATTCAGTGCCTCCTTATTTGGGTCACTGCTTAGTCTATAGGCAGGAAGGGAGCCAATGCCACGGTCCCACTAACTGTGGGGGAAAACAGCCGCCTCACACTCAGTAGCCGCTCGACTCCCCACTAAAAGCAAACAGTTCAGCTGAGGGCAGTGGTTCTCCAGCTGTGGGATGGGGGCTGCAATCAAGTGGTGCGTGGTGAGGTTTAAAGTCCGGTGTCGGA